CAATATTGCGCGTAACAATTTTTGGACTGTCCAAGACACGTCAATTACGAACAGTCTAGACCTTTATTGAGGGTCGATCATAGGCTTTTTCAATACCGCATTCCGCTGCTATTCTTGGCTCAATCCCGCCATCCCGCTTCGCTCAGAACATTTATTAAGATCCCCCTGGTTATAGGCGCAGTTCTCCGTATAACATTCGTATCCTGTGAATCCCGTATCCCGCCGTCAATTTTAAAACTATCCCGCATCCCACCCGTGAAAATGCGCAAATCCCGCTCTCTTCGAAGTGTTTTCATTCCGCATGCCGCCATTAAAATTTTTGTCATCCCGCACCCCGCCTCGATTTTAATCTTTTCCCGCATCCCGCCAAACCTATGTTGGACCCTATTTATTCTGAGCGGAAATGTGGCCTTTTAAAGTAACTGCGTGACATCACTGACTCGTGTAACCCAGGGGAGCCCCCCCCCCCTAGTTGGACAGTCTTTCGACTGCTGGAAAGCGTTTGAAACGGGAATATAACACTGAAGGGAACAGACTGAATTACTATAAAAATGAGGGCTCCTTACGTAGCTAGTTAACATTACTAGCAAGTTCTACGTCAAAATAAGCTTAAAAAATGATTGTTTCGACTTGCTTATATTCCTTTGCGTGAGTATCACCGTCAATGAGGTAGAACATAAATAACTTCTCTCCGTGCACTTGTAGTTTGTATTGTTCAAGTGTCGCGCGTATGATGATTAATAAAATATATTGGAACATTTTAGTAAAGAGTTAATTAAGAAATTGGGCTCTTTTACTCTCCAGACTGTGGTTAGTTACTTCCCATCTACTTGTTGCACAAACCAGCAATTTAGTGATAATGACTGCTTCAGAAAGTAGAGTTATAGCAGAAGCGACGAACAAATTCGCTCTTGATCTTCACAGATGCCTGGCAAATAGTGATCAATTTGCCAATGACAACCTTTTCTATTCTCCCACAAGCCTTACCATTGTTCTTGCAATGACATGCTATGGAGCGAGGGGAAATACTGCTGCAGAGATAATGAAAGTCCTTCATGTTGATTCGATCTCGCCAACTGACCTCAACGAGAGCATGAGGAAATTCATTGATACGTTGAACGCAGCAAGTAGCAAAAACAGCAAGCTGTTCGCAGCAAACAGACTATTCCTTCAAAAGAGTTTTGAAATCCTGAAAACTTACAAGAAAGGAACAAGCGAGTTTTTCGATGCAAAACTCGCTCAAGTTGACTACATCAGAAATGCTGAGAAGGCCAGAAGACAGATCAACCGCTGGGTAGAGAAGAAAACAAGTGATAAAATCAAAGATCTCATTTCTCCCGGATTGCTGAGCACAGAAACAAGGCTGGTTCTCGCGAATGCCATTTACTTCAAAAGTTTCTGGCTTACGAAATTCATGTACCATAAAACATTTTCTGGGTCGTTCTTTGTAAACCAGAATGAAGAAATCAAGGTAAACATGATGCATCAAACAAGTGAGTTCAAGTATTTTGAGTCACACGAGTTGGCTTGTCAAGTGATTGAAATGCCGTATATTGGCGGAAAGATGTCCATGGTAATCTATCTTCCTAAAGAAATCAATGGCCTTGCCGAATTGGAAGAAAAGATGACCTATGACAACCTGCAGAAGTCTCTTTCTTTGCTTGATGCCTCAAAGAAAAAAGTGGAAGTGTTCTTGCCTAAATTTAAGCTGACTCAACAGTTTGATCTCAATGACATCTTGTCAAAAATGGGAGCGGTAGATGTGTTCATTCCTGGTAAAGCCGATCTCTCTGGTATCACAGCTGAGCCGTTGTTTGTCTCCAAGGTGGCACAGAAAACATTTGTCGAGGTGAATGAAGAAGGAACCGAGGCAGGAGCAATTACTGAGGAAGCTTTGGAAAAATGTGTCACGGATTCGCAGTGGATATTTAAGGCTGACCACCCCTTCCTGTTTCTTATTCGGCACAGCGACTCTGGCTCCATATTGTTCATGGGCCGTCTCATGAAGCCAGTATCGTAATATTTCATAGTTTATCTTAAACTTTCAGAACCTGTCATGTTGATATGTAAAATAAATCAAGTGAGTCTTGTTCCACACGGGACTTTTCTGAGGTTAAAATGTTTTTAAAACGCGTCGACGTCTCGGGCAGTCACCATATTGAGCCAGAACCACGGTGCCTGAAGAAGATCAGTAACACAGCCTGAAACATCGCGTTTTAAAAACATTTTAACCACAGAAAAATCCCTTGTAGAACAAAATTCAGTTTATTTATTTTATATAAATTATAAGTAATATTTCAGTCATCGAGTTTAATGTAGTACAGTCAAACCTTGGTTTTCCCTACAGACACTTAACATTTCTTTCTATCTATAATTTGGCATTTTACTAGGGTGGTAGGTAGAAAAATTGTGACTGAGGTAGTGTCCATGGTTAAATTCTCTATCTAGGTGTCTAGAGTGTTTATGATGACTATAAATTTCTCAAACTCATTAATAATTCATCAAGTTAAAACAAAGAAAATCACAACCATGAAAGAAGGTGTGGATACCTTGTCTTTTAATTAGCATAGATTTTGACGATTTTACTTCTCCGTTTACTCCTTAGTTTTTGTTTCGATTGAGAGGATATATCAAACGCTCGAGACAGTGTTTCATTGGCAATCCAAACACCTCGAATTTCGTCAAAAATACTCCGCTTCGCGTCGTATTTTCAACTCTCTTCTCGGTGTTTGGATATCCCGATGAAACACTGTCTCTCGTGCTTGATAAATTACAACCAAACCGAAAAAAATGACTGCGGCAAGTGCTTCGGCTTGCCTAGCTGTTAAATAAATCTCCTCAATGGAAATTACGGCATTCGGTCGGGAAAGAAGTGGTCACAAAGCAATTCTAGTAGTTGCTTGCTTCCAAGGACGGATCCAGGAATTCCTGAACGAGGGGCTTGTACCACCTTAACTTTCGTCGCCACTGAGTGGATGGCGAGCACAGTAACCCTGAGCTTCTAGGGGGCTCCGAGGCCATGCGCCCGAAAATAAAATAAAATTGATTTTACCCTCTGAAACACCATTTCCAGTATGTTTGACACTTGAAAAAAGTTTGTGAAGGCGTGATATAAAATTACGGGTTTTTCTTTTATCAACCAGAGAGTCAAACATAATAATGTATTGTAGTTGCCAAATGCACAGTTTCGTTTCCTAAACTTGACAGTCAGTCAGTTGGTGGAAGTGAAACAAACTACGTCAAACTATTTTATTCTTTTATTCTAGTATTTCTATGGTGAGTTAAACAAATAACAGTTATCAAAGTTGGGGGGGGGGTTTGCAACCCCCTTAACCCCTCCCCTGGATCCGCCTCTGGGTTCTTCAATGAATCCAGAAAGCGTAGTATGAGTCTCACGGTCACCAGATTGTTCAAGTCCCGCGGGATTTCGACGGCACTAAGATAACGCAGCCCGTGGGGGGAGGGGGGAGGGGGAATGCTTCCATATATTAAGAAAGCTTTTGACTTGTGGAAATAGTTTTAAAGTTTAGCATAGTTGTTGTAATAGTTTTAAAGTTTAGTGATTTCCATTTATTCATTTATTTTAA